CCCCATTTTATAAAGCAGGAAACTCAAGTGCAGAGTGTGGGTAGGTGATTGAGACTAGGATTAAAACTGATGGTTTGACTCCAGTGTATACATTTTTAACCTTTCCTGATGATCATATCTTGAGCATAGGGCCACTGTGAAGCTTAAATGAACACAGAACACAGAAGCTGTGGTCTCAAGAGTTCAGGAGGCAGCAATCAGCTGGTTTGATATTAAAGTTTGTGAACCACCAATGGGAACACATGCATTAACATTCCCATGCCTGCAACATAGCTGTGTATGTGTCACCAAAATGAAGAGTCATAGGACACTGAGGATCTTTGACTGCTTAAGTTGGGGACTTAGATTAAGGGTGTTGCCAAATGGAGTAGAAGTCAAGGGTAGAAAAAAAAGAGAGAGTAGTTGGAACATTCCTGAGAAACAAAGGGAAGAGCTATCTCAAAAGTGGTGAAGAATTGGCAAGCGGGTTATTTATATAAACCTTTACACACAATAGGGCATAGTAGGAATTTAATAAATATGGTGAGATACATCATGAAGCCAATGTTCAATCAAATATCTAATCTGACTGAACCTTATGAACAGCTTTGAAAATCATGAGTGCTCACCCTTCATTTTTTTCTCCATTTCACCAGATTTTCCTTATACATTTAACCTTGATTCTTGACAGAAGAAATGAAATGGGTTAAAATACAACATACGTGAATGCCTGTTTCAGCTTATCTCCAATGGAATCCGAAATCTTGTCCTTCTTGTGCAGTCTTTCCTGGAGGGCTAGGTGACTAAAGATAGGCCTTTCCACATAGTACCTCTCAGTTGCTTCAAGGATTTCAGTTTCTTCAGCATGATCCATAGTACTCTGAAATTATTCATCAACAGCAGGAGACAAGCCTTTCCTGAGTGCTAAAGGAGAAAACAAAAACTATTTCAGATGTAAAAATCCAGTTGATGACTGTTCTAAGCATCTCTTCCCTGTGGCATTCTAAGTTCTTCTGAGGACTTCTTAATCTTTGGACACCCAGAGCATCTAACATAGTGATCTGTACATGGTAGGCACTAATAAGTGAAATGAAATCAGAATCAATAAAAATCAAATCCCCTACCAAGGCAATAAGTGGGTAATGTGTATATTTTTAACAAAAGCTCATATTAAATTCAATGGCTAGANTTGTCCATTTGTTCTTAGGTTGCCTAAAACATTTGAATACAAATCAAATGTGTGTGGTAAAAACAATAAAAGCAAACAGGAGGTAACTTTACAAATAATGGAATGTGAACTATTTCTGCCCTTCTCCAAAGTAAACTGGGTCACGACTGAAAGACACTTCTGTAGCTGTAGTCAACAGTGTGCCCACTGAGACTGAGTGCTCTCCATGGGATATCCATCTCTACTATAGCCTTGTAAGTGCTCCAAACCTTAAAGTACCCACAGTAACTACTCCTGTGACGGGAACCAATGACCCCTTTTGTTCCCCAGCAGGACAAACCAATATGTAGGCAGTTTTCTGTGCTTAGACATGGAAGCTGTTTTAACACAGGCCCTTGTGAAGCCACAACGTACCAAAAACACTATGCCAAACATTTATAACTTGTATAAAAATTCCACATCCCCATATTGGTCAGCTCAAGATGGAAGCAGATAACTCCCTATGTTAACTGGCTCCACTCCCCCAACATTAAACACAAAAAACACATGGGAAATAGAGAAATTCAGATAGAACATAAACCTGTCATAAATTGTAAACAAAAAACTATTTGTGGGACAGCATGGAGGACAAATGGTCTACTGTGTAAATTTTAGAATGAGACAGATAAAAGTTGGAAGGCCAGTTGATTTTCTCCTCCTTTCCTGCTCCAGCTTCATCCCCTTGGGTATCCAAAGTCCACAACATCAAGTTGTCTCTCAGTAATTGCATTATTAGTATGCTGTCCTTGTATGACTCTTTACTTGAAGTATCAAGTTCAGCAGTGGCTTCATCAAAAGCTGTCTTTGCACGCTTTCTCCCGAGAATTCAGCATCTCATAACAGAACATAGAGAAGTTCTGACCCAACATGATAGGATGTGTTGGTTGCATTTTGTTTTTGCTGATTTGAAAAGCTTCTGGTCCACAATCACTTTCTTGTCATCACCAGCATCAACCTCAGCCAAGCAACAGTAGAAGTTTCCTGTCATTTTCCAACAGAAGACTTTGCTCTCTGCTTGTGAAGCATGGGGGACCAAGAACTTTTCCAAGAGGGACAGTACATCACTGCAGATATCTCTTAGCTCGTTCTCAGTTTTCTCTCTGTATTCTCGAGCCATCTGCTGTTTCTACTCAGCACCTTCCGATTTTGCTCAACACTTGATATGACCCTTCAAGGTGACCTATGAGATCCTACATTTTTATAAGCAACGGAGGGAAGATTCCTCTCCTCATTAGATAATTCAGCTTCTTGCTCAGTTACAGACTTCATGCACACAATGTCATCATATTGCTCAGCCTCCTTGGCCAGTTTGACCTTCTGCACCAGCTCATTTTTATCCATGACGGGATGTTCTGTGTCCCGAGTGGGTGGCGGCGGACCAACGGGACTCAGTAGTCTCAGTCTCTGGATCTCGTTGCTTGCAGGCTACAGGGTTTCCTCTGCAGGCACAGGGTTTCCTCCAATCACCAGCCTCGGCAGCAGGGGCACCACATGCAAGATGACGTCATACACTGCTGGTTCCCGGAACGAGGCCTAAGCTCATGTGTCTTAACTTTCCCGCCCTTTCACCTTAATCCTATATGTAAGCCTACATTTATGTTTAAAGAGTCCAGGCTGACACAGTTTCCCTTGTCATCTCCTCTTTGCCAGGGGATAAAATTTTTTCTGCTTTATTCTTTCCCAATTTAGATAAGGGCAGAAAGTCTTACTTGACTGGCACAGTTGTAATCTGGTGTTGATGTCCAAGTGCTGGCTGTTTCTCTAGTGGGTTGTTTTCGTGTGTTCTTTGGAGAATAAGGAATGCCCATGGTATCATTCCCTGGCCAATGTAACGCCCACTCTCCCAGATCTCTTACAGGTGCCAGGTTCGTCAGTCCAACTTGACTGAATGTCAGTTTAACTTCTGTTTCCCATGTCAGATGCTGAACCTCTGTCTGTTCCTCTCCCTGCCCTCACTCTGCCTTTGAATCTGACCCTTTCTCTGTCCTTGGGGTGTTGGTGCCAAAATGGCTGTGGAGAACTATCCTAAACCTGGTTTAAGGCTTTTGTTTAATAGATTTAATAGATTTGGTAGATCAGCCACTTGGAAAATTAAAAACTCAACTAATTGAGCATTAGGGAAATTTTTTTTTGACACATTGATCATTTTGTAAAAAATTTAGGGGAAATTGGAGAAGGGAATAGATTTTTGGCCAGCTGAGCTCCAGGATGTTAGAGTCATTATCAACATTGCCTATACTGAGTCACTGTCACCTCTAACTGGTCCCCCCACACGCATGCTGGTGCCTCTCCACCAAACCCATTTCCCACACGGCAGTCTCACTGACCTCTTACAAAGAAAACCCAACTGAAAAGCATGCTGATAGCTTACACAGGACTCAGAATGCATCCAAAAGTGGTAACCTGCCCGCCTCCCAGCCACTGGCCCCTGGCTCCTCACTCACCTGGCACTCTGCCTTTCTGTGAATTCTTCAAACCAAGTCTTCAAACACCCAATTCTTTTCCTGCTACATGCCTTCACACATACTATTCCTTCTGCCTGAAATGCATTTCCTCTCATTCTTTATCTGCCTCCTACACATCCTTTGGGTCTCAGCTCAAATCTCACTTCCTTAAAGAGGTTTTTGTGACTTACCTACTTAAATTAGGTTTCCATGTGATTATCTCCTAGTGCCTTGTGTTTTCCTTCACAGGAAACATCATTTGTAATGAAAACTTTATATGTGTTGTTTTTTTTTTAACTTTATTGGGGAACAGTGTGTTTTTCCTAGGACCCATCAGCTCCAAGTCAAGTTGTTGTCCTTTAATCTTGTAGTGGGCGCAGCTCAGCTCCAAGTCCAGTCGTCATTTTCAATCTAGTTGCGGGGGGCACAGCCCACCATCCCATGCGGGAGTCCAACCGGCAACCTTGCTGTTAAGAGCACGTGCTCTAACCAACTGAGCCATCTGGCTGCCCATTGGCAGCTCAGCGGCTGCTTCAGCTCAAGTCATTGTCTTCAATCTAGTTGCGGAGGGCACAGCTGACTGGCCCACGTGGGACTTGAACTGGTAACCCTGTTGCTCAGAGCTGCGCTCTAATCAACAGAGCCCCCCAGCCACCCCTATATGTCTTTTTATTAGCTTCATGTCTCTCTCCCTGATTGGAGAATTAGTTTCATGAGGACAGGAGCAGGGTGGGGAGGGGGGTGCCAGGCAGATGCTTGATAAACAAGTGTGAATGATGAACAAATTAATGAGATTTTCTTAAATTTTTATATCACATATAAAAAATCACACAAATGCGGAGGAATTCAGTACTTCATGGTCCCTTGTAATGAGAATATGAAATTAGCATCAAGAACCTGAAGACAACAACCCCAACAGCATGTTCACTGAGTGACTCACTGACCCAGCCAGTTCCTAACTGCACTGATCTGTAAAACAGTATCACCATATTCTACTACTACTATCTCTGGGGCTTTTAAAGGGTTATATGTTTCTAAAGAATTCCTTTAGACAGCAAAAAGTTATTAGAATGATATGATGAAAACTATAACTTTGCAATCACGAGGAAGTTAAACAGACAAAGGGTCAGGCGATTGAGGAAATGGTAGTAAGGGAAACAAACAAGAAATAAATATATTCTACTGACCTTGAGGAAGCTGCAGCACTCCTGTGCTTACACCTGAGACCAAGTCACCCAACACATATTCCTTGAAATTGTAAGCTGGCAACCACTTAGTTATGGGTAAGAACATATAAATGATATTTCTTATTTTCTTAGGAGTACATCTGGGAGGACAAAGACAGACAGAGATAAAATGAGGAACATTTCTGTAGAATTCATACCAAGGCATTTTCCCTTCCTTATATTCTGGAGCAATAAGGAAAAATTCACCATTGGTGCTGCGTATAACCTTTTCACTCTGCAGAGATCAGAGGCAAGAACTGCTGCTTCTTGCAAAACAAACATTTTTTTTTTGATGGAAACATCTCATTTGGCTCCATAATAATATTCTACAACTGATCATGAAAAATAAGAAAAAATTAGCTTCAAAATAATTGTTATTTTAATAGATAAAATCCTTAATGCATTTTCTGTGTTCGTAGAAAAACAGTAAATAAGAGAATTATTTACTGATTGAGTTAATTTTTGAATGTGGAACCACTGACAAGCATCTGTCCATTTAGTTTCCTCCTTCTTTATAAAATAAAGGCTATTTATACAGGTATTCTGAGCTTTATTTACATGTGTCCATTGCTTTAGGGCCTTTGATTAGGTAAACTCAAAATACCTTTTGCCACTGGAGTATAGTAACTAAGTTTATGTCTGGCTGTCTTAGTTCAGTGGAACACCATG